TGTAGTTTTTGAAAGACAGGCTCGACATTTCATCAGCATCGACTCCTTTCTTGTCGCGACTTCCACATGCGCCCTGACTCTATAGATTTTGGAGGGGAGGACAGCCATGAAGCGGTGATTGGTTGATTTTGAGTATTGCCAAACTGAAGAGGCGGATATTTGAAGAAAGAAAGTAGAGTGGCAGGTGTAGTTATATATGCGTTACCCGCAGAGCGCCAGGCGGGCCATCGTAACCTTCAGTGCCGGTTTTGGAAGACTGGGTCGACATGATATCGTGATTGCGGAGGCTTTTGTCGCGCCTCGGACATGCTACGTTGGAATGCGGCTTTTGGAGAGGAGAACAGCCATAGGCAGCCAGGTTCGCAGTTATGGTCTTAAGAAGAGATATGAGTGTGAAGAAGAGAGAAGAGGGAGGAGAAGGACCGAATTTATATGCGACGCGCGGAGCGGCCGGCTGGTCATAAAAGTTGTGCATTGTGTTTTTGAGGGCTGGACCAACATGACTTCTTCATCGTAGATTGTTATGTCGCGTCTCACACGTGACCTCTTTTGATATGCTTTTTGGGGCGGACAACGGCCATCGACAGTTTCTTTGCCTCTTTTGATTTTGGTAAAAGAAGGAAGTGTGTAAAGAAGAGAGACTGAGATCGAAGAGAGAATCATATATAGCTATCGCTCATCGGGTTCACAGCACGGGCTTTGGCTGTCTCAATCCCGACTGACACATGCTTGCGCCCAGTAAAAGATTTCGAAGAGAGAAGAGACATAGGAACTTGCTGACAGAGTTTTGAGTCCGACAGCAGAAGATCATGTGATGCTCGTATGAGATTTTTGGTAGAACGGGAATGGAGAAGTTGTTGGTGGAAGGAAGAGAGTATGTGCGAAGAAGAGAGGGACTTTATACGTCCGCCAAGGATGCGTAGCGGCGTGGGGGTAATCTAGAGGGAGACAAAGATACACAACTGCGAGGGAAGCCAGAGACGACGCATCACCCGAAAAGATGACTGAAGTGTGGGGAAGCAAGTAAGCACTCAAAAGCAAACAGTACGTACGAATCGAAACATTCAACAAAAAGTGTCCTTTTCATTGCTCAAAACAGTCCGCACAGCGTCCATATATACAAGAAAAGGTCTATCGACCAAAATATTTACAAATCGAAGTCTTCAAGATCCCCTTCATTTCCAAAACCGAATGATCATGTCATGTACCCCAAAAAGCACACCCAATGCTTAGAACTTGAGCGTAACACCAGCCGTACCAACAACAGCAGCCTTAACAGCACCCGCCTCAAGCATTTCCTTAGTCTCATAAGGCATCTTGGTCAGCGAACCCTTATCAGCCGTGTTCTCGCTGTCACCAAAGTCGTTACCCTCAGCAACAGCCTTGCCACCGTCCTTGCTGTAAAGCGCCTTCTTAGCACCAGACCAAACGTTGTTCTGGACGAGGAGCTCAGCGCCCTGGCGGGTGTTGATGCCATCGCTGACGTTCTCGTAGTAGTTGTTGTAGAGGTGGCCGGTGCCGAAGCGGAAGGACGGGCCGCGCGAGTTGATGTTCTTCCAGTAGTTGTTGTTGTAGGTGACGGTGAGGTGGCCCTTGTCTTCGCTGCCGTTGCTGTCGGAGTGACCGACGAGGGAGCACTTCCAGTGGTCGTGCATGAAGCTGTTGGAGATGGTGACGTAGTCGGCGGCGTGGGTTACGTCGAGGAGACCGTCGTAGTAGTCCTTGTCGTGGTCGAGGTCCGAGGAGAGGTCGACGTGGTCGACCCAGACGTTTTGCGCTTTCTGGATGGCGATGGCGTCGCCGCCGACGACCTTCTCCATGGCGAAGTTGCGGAGGATGACGTTCTTGACGGCCTTGACGGTGAGGGTGAAGTCGGTTAGGACGACGGAGGAGTCCTTGCCGATGACGGACTTGTTGCTGCCGATCTTGACGTTCTCGCCGCTGCCCTTGATGGGGCTGGTGATGAGAACGATGGCGGCGTCGTCACCCTTGACGGCAGCCTCCAGATCGCTGAGAGAGCCGACCTCGATGGTCTTGCCGCCCTTTCCTCCAGAGGTACCTCCGTTCTGCGTGGCGAAACCGGTGGTCGCGACATCTTCCAGAGATGCAGCGCGCTTGGTGAGACCGTCACGCTTAGGTGCGATCTGAGATGGCATGGGTGCTGCCAGAGCAGAGACAGCCATGAGGCCGAAAGACATGATTGAGAACTTCATTGTCGAAAGAAGTATGTTGGTCAAGTTGGAAAATGAATGTGAAAGGGGAAAAGCGAAGGACTGGAGTTGTTGTAGAAAAGAATGGAAGAGCTTTGCTGCCGAAGATCTCAGTGGACGGTCACGCACATCCTTATATACTGCGTCTGGTACCCGCTCGCATCGGTGCTGGCTGTCTAGGTATGGTGTCCCCGCCGTGGACAGGCCCTTACCGACAGCATAGACGCTCGGGGCACAAAAGTTTCAACGTCTTCGCACCAATACGCTCCGCCGAAGGACCCGCCACAATGGAATACCAGGGCTACCGCTCACGATCTCGGGTGAGCACTCTTCCCTCGCTGGGTTCCGTACAGCGGACAAACGTCGCGACATGTCAAACATTCTTGGCAACCATGCGGAAGGATCCTGTTTGAAACGACTAACCAAAACAGGCGCGGGTAACTCCACTTTTCACGATGTGAGATTGCGAAGGGCGTCGTTCGAAACAAGGGCACACTTGAACACCGTAACTGCGCACGCGCAGGAACGTCTTGGCTAGAGGACCTGTGGAGACATGGCGGGCGCTTGCTGGTATCGCTACCGATTCAGTGGTGGAGCGGGCGGCTTGAGTCGTGATTGATCAGTAAACCACATGTATCGAAAGTATTGAAAGAACGGAGATGGTCCTGATGCATCTGTTCAATCTTGAAAATATGGATCTGTGGTGCCACGTTCGATCTGGTGTGGGCGGCTGTCGGGCTGCGTGCAGAAAGACCGATGTGAGAGGTACTCCGAAGGAGGTATGACGATGTGCAAGTCTTTCGGCCGTATCAATGTGTGCGGTGTGTCGCAGCGTAGAAGCGTGGGCAAATTTTCTTTTCTTGAGAAGGCTCGAAATCTCTTGCTTTACCGAAGCGTCTGGACTGTTGATCCATCACCATCGGTCCTTTGCGGGACCCAGCTCCTGATCAAAGCACACAGCAGCATGCACTTGATGCCATAGCAGATTGGGATGGGCAAAGCGACATGGGAATTGGTTAAAGAGAAGGATCGAGGAAGGGACGAAACGGATACGAAGCCGTGAAGCTTCTCTTGACCTGCGAGTGTGGTTTCGACTGCGCCGAACAGCCGCTCAGAGGCTTGGCATAGCTACACATCGATATGCATGGGAAAAGGAATAACGACAAAGGTAGAAATTGGTAATCTCAGTGCTGATATGCGTGTATCCGGCCAGTCATGGACAGAATGACAGTTGAGAGTGAGTACCTATGGTCAATTGTGATTGCTACCAGGGTGTACTCACACCGAGGCTGCACAACGGGTCCGAAGCGTGTTGGGCTCTGATGTCGCAGTGCATAATCATGGGTTTGAATGACATCGGGGAGTGAAGTCGAGCGAGGAGGGACCGCAGCGCTGCAGAGGTCGAAAGAAGGTTTCACGTGGTAGATGACATCATCGCCCAAAGCAGCAAGCACCTTCATCTGAACCAAAGAACGCGTCGACGAGGCCAGCAGAGCACAGCACAAGGCAGCAACAAACAGTTTCTACAACGTGTCCATAACTCTAGATCGCCTTCAGAACACCTACTACACCGTTCAGTAACTCATGAAGTAACGATCCGCTCTACTGCGACTACACCCTCCACGATACTCACCACCTCCACACAAACCACACACAACTCATACAACACCCCATATCCTCGCAAACCACCCCCAACATGCCCCCAATCCCCATCCACAAAAACGCGCCCATCGCGCCCACCACCGCCGCAAAACCCGACGGCACCACCCCTTCAACCGCGTCCTCAGACCCCGACAACGCCTCCAACAACCCGCCTCCAACACGCACAACGCCCGCCTACGTCCCCGCTACAACAACACAAGATGCATCGTCGAACCCACCCGCTCCACAGCCCGGCGCCCGTCCCGCCGCACCAACAGGTTCAGTCGGAATGACAGAAGGAAACGACAGATATACACCAGCAGCGCCGCAAGCAGGTGCCGTCCCAACAGCAACGGTCATAACGACGGAGACACGGCAAGCACCGCCACCGCCGCAGTTCAGTCATCCTCCGCCTTCAGACTCCATGTTGGCGGGGAGATCGACGGTGACGGCTACGATGGCTAGCAAACCTGGTCCTACGACGCTCAACTACGGCCCTGCTGCGTCGCCGTTCCAAACGGCTGATCAAGCGCAGCCTACGAGGACGAGCTTGGAACACCCGCCGGGCTATGTTCAGGCGATGGATAACGCGCCGTATACTGCTGGCGGAGGCATTGGTGGGTCGAGCGGAGCGGGAGACAATGAGGGCGAGGGCGTTGGGGCGCAGGCGTGGAGCATGCTGAACAAGGCGGGTGAGGCACTCAAGAAGGGCGAGGAGAGCGTGTGGAGGGCGGTTCAGGGTAAAAATGGCGGCGGGTTCTGAGCACGTGCTTGCTTGTAGAAGGGTTGCATGAGCATAGGCAGTCAGGAGAGCAATGCATCACTCATAGTAGAAGCAATTTGTTCATACAAAGAAACCCATGACTTTCTATAGACCACTATTTTCCCCATTGCACCAAGCGATGAAAAGAGGAAGTACAGCCAGAAACAGATGAAGCATTGCAAGCCGGATATGACGTGTGAATGTATAAAGTACAAGAGTGTGTTACCACCCGGGATCGTGCTTTTCGTAACCAAGAACAACCGTCGGCCCGCAGGGCGTGTGGCCGTTCTCATACACGTACACCCCATCCCCATCTCTCACGTCGCGAATAACTGCTTCCACCACATAAACGCAGGTTGGGGGTATCGTAGAGGGAAGAAAGGCGCTTAACCAGATCCACCCTTGAACTTCTTGCCGAAGAGGATGAGCTGGGCCTGGTCGTAGATGGACAGGACACCGGCACCGGCAACACCACGGAGAATGTTGGCACCAGCACCCTTGAAGAGAGACTTGACACCCTCGGCGGCAACGATCTGGCGAGCGGCGTCCATGGTACCCTTGTACTTGACGGCCTCACCGGAGGTCATCATCATGCGGCGACGGATGGTGTCAAGGGGGTAGGAGGCGATACCGGCACCAGTGGTGACGGCCCAACCAAGAGCGAAAGAGGCCAAGAAGTTACCCTCGAGGGAACCGGTGAGGAGGACGGGCTTGATCGAGTCGTACATACCGAAGTACAGACCACGGTAGACAACGATACCAGCAACGGAGGGCATGAAACCGCGGTAGAGACCGCCGATACCGTCGGAGGCGAGGGTCTTCTTGTAGACGTCTACGAGACCGTTGAACTGGCGCTCACCACCCTTCTTGGCCGACTTGGCGTCGTTGGCGAGACGGGTACGGGCGTAGTCGAGGGAGTAGACGAAGAGGAGGGAAGTGGCACCGGCAGCCTGTTGTTGTTAGATCATGATTTGCTAGCCATTGGACAGATGTACTTACACCACCGGAGGCCAAGTTACCGGCCATCCACTTGGCGTAACCGTCACGCTCCTTCTTGTAGGCGAACATGGACTTGTAGGTGTCGCGGAAAGCGAAGTTGAGCGCCTGGGTGGGGAAGTAACGGATGACGTTGGCAGTGTTACCACGCCAGAGGGAGAGGACACCCTCGTTCTTAGCGGTACGGCTGAAGCACTCGCCAATGCCATCGTACTTGCGGTCGAGACGACCGGACTTAAGCATCTCATCCTGCGGGGTGGGTTAGCAATTGTCGAGATGCGGGGGTCGAGATTGTGATAATGCATACCTGGTTCTGGATGAGGAGCTTAACACGCTCGATGGGGGCAGCAGCGGTCTTCGAGACGGCGGCGGAAACACCACCCACTGATAAGCTGTTAGTGGCTGTTGCGAGAGCAAAACTTGGCCGACAACGCTCGCATCACATCCAATTGCCAATGGCAGACGGATTGATGGACCTGTCGATGGAGATAAACGTACTCAAGAAGTCCACCACGAAACCTGGCATCCCGAAAAGGGACTTGTCTGCAATCTGGTCAGCGTCGTCTCGTGCAATTCGTAGATGTAATACACACCCTGCTGTGCGCCCGACATCTTGGATGATGTATGGAGGGGAGATTGGTTGAAAAAGGTGAGGTTGCAGATGCTGGTGCTGCGTTGAGGGAAGAACGGTGTATTTGTAGCGAAGCTGCGACAAATTCTGCCAGCAGCGCTAATTCGCACTAAGCCAATCACGTGCTAGTGGCCTCGCCCGCTATCCCGAGCGCACCCTCATCAACACCTCGGAAACGCGGGTTGGGACAATGGTGAATGAGAAAAAGTCCTCACGATGGCCGTCGCATTGCAATTGACCTCTCATACGTTCCAATTGCCATGTATCGACGTCGTGCTCTGCATCCAATTCACGATACTCTGCCTCTTGATCCCAACGGAACCCCCACAAGCGTTGCCGTAGCAGCCACACAATGCCTATGGCTTGACGAAAGTGCGTCTAAAGGCAGCCCGCAGCCGTCAATTCAACATGGAAAATCCACTGTGGGGATGTACAAGTGTTCACATGCCTCTTCCAGCCCAAGTCTCCCACCCTCTCCTTTCTGCGAGAGCCACCATTGTCAGGGTCCGCCATTTTTAGGTCGGGTAATCTCGGGGACGGAACCTGGCTCGGGCCAACAACTAGCGGCGAGGGCCCTCAAAGAACGTGGGGCCCGAAACTCCAGGCGGCGAATTTTCCATCGCGCTGCCCGCTATTGGCACAAGAGCCGTGGTTCGCGAAGCCTCGCCTGGCTTCTAGGGCTGCCGAGATGCTCTTCCAAGGCTGCCATGGCTGGATGCGTGACGTTGGTGTTGCAGGAGCTTCGTGATGCTGGGCCCTGGCTGACACCGTATGTCGGTTGTCGCTGTCTGACGCTCTTCAGTACCCCTCCGACGGCAGCCGTCTCAGGTCATCCGATCACATCGGGATATCACAAAGACTTCGCCAGTCTTCGGAATGCCAAACCCGTGTCGCGTTCATGGAGAATGTTGAACTCGGCGGTACTTCAAGTTTTAACACCGCGAGAACACTTGCGTCATTGCATCTTGTCATCCCGTTAGAAGGAGGTGGGATGAGCTACCATCGGTCTTCCACGAACAACTTGTTTTCTCGAAGTCACTCTAGCTCCCTTCTGCACGCTCCTACTGTGCAAACCATGCTTACTTGCTGGTGGTATCGTGGCCGTTGTATACAGGTTTGCAGTATACAGATATACTCCCTTCCATCTCGAGCCTAGCCCATCTTCTCTTGCAGCATACAAAGCAACTTTCATTAACTCTAAGAAGTATCATTGTAGCCCCAGACGTATACATGGCTTGGCTTCAGTACAGTGGGCATCCTATAGCTGTGTTGTCAGCTGCAGCATAGAAGAATGGTTGCGAGACCAAGACCTTTTGCTCATACTTCGCCGTCAGCATACGCACTGCACTTAGCCGACTAGCACGATCTGCAATCGGCCAATGCTCGCGCCATCTATCAACTCAACATGTACGTGAGCGCTTCGGCATGGTTGTACTGGGTACTGCCCATTCTTGTCCAAGGCTCTCCGACAATTCCAGAAGACGATGGGCTGAGGCCAGTACCCAAGACAGGTTCCAAACCCGTTTGTACTCTGCCAAACTGTACCAAGACCGGAGACAAGTCCTGTAAGAACAAGAGGGCTTTGCAAGAGCATGTCGTCACCAAGCACACTGAGTGTTATCCCGCCACGTGCCCAGTTGACGGCTGCCCACGCACCGACTTCGCATCATTTATCCATATCGACAAGCACATGAAAGAAGATCATCTTAAATACGCCATGGCCTTGTACGACCGCGACACGATCATCACATGCCGATTTGAGGGGTGCGAAGCCCGCTACAAAGCACACGTTCCCTATCGTAACCATCTGCAGAAAGAGCACAGAGTCGATCAGCCAACTGTGCTCGAGCACGAGAAGCCAAAGGATCATTTTTGCTACGTAAAAGAATGCAACACAGCCCACAAGTTTCGCAGTCCATTAGAGTACGACTCTCACCTGATTCAGACCCAGAGCCTTGTCACTCAAAACCAATTGAGGATCTTCTTGAAGGGCATGGCGTCTCGATGGGTGGAGAAAAATGGCCCCTTCATATACAACCTTCCACTTGCATGAGCATGAGAGTCTGGTATATCACAACTATACAGGTCTGTTTGTATGGTATCTATAACACGTATAGCCCGGATTGATCATACGTCGCTTGTCGTCATATCATGCTATCAAAGAAGGTCTTCGAGTTGTGGAAACAACGCAATGTGTATAGTATGTAGTTTCGCATACACACAAGCAATATTGTCGAGTTGATATGTACTTCAAAACGGTGCACGATCGAGCGATACTGTCCTGGTATCACCGGGTTCTGCACTGAGACTTGCCCGTCATGGCGTCGTGCCGACTCCGCTTTTCAAGGCTTCATCACCGTACGTCTTCCCTTAACTGCAGTCAATTATCGCATTGCTAACGGTCTGCAGACTATCTCCTGTGCGTGGCAGTGGTCAGTTTCGTAAGCGCTCCCTCGTACTGCTCTGGTACAGGTCTTAGTATCCATGGACGATGTACAGGATTCACTTCTGGGACATATTACCACAGCATGTCGCGTATCCAGTATCGGGGAAGGCAACAGCATTATTCTCAACGGTTGCCATGCAAGTTGCTCAAGCTAGCAAGACAGGCGGGTGAAGGCGGCTTCACGCTCAACTTTGCCGACATATATTGACGTCACCTTGTTTTCATGGTCACTCACCTTACGCAAACAAAACGTGAGTCACTGCGACTTCCGCTGCTGCCTAAATAAAAAGACGTCGACGCTACAACGACCCAATCCGCACCACCACCTCCGCACCACCTCACCACCACCCGCCCCTTCCCCTCCAACAATGGCGACTGCGAGAAAGACATCTGAGAATGTGAGTACTCGGTAGCAACCTGCTTCCTTGCGCGACCTTCTCAGAATCGTCTTCTCGCAGTCGCCCGACAAGCTCTCGCGCCACCATGCGAGCGCAGCCGATCGAGGCATCAAAACCAACCAACACCCCCCCAACTTTCTGATTATCCTCGCCACTGATGGTCACCCAAAAGCGACAGCGAGAAAGACATCTGAGAGTGTGAGTACTTGGTGGCAACCTGCTTCCTTGCGCGACCGTCTCAGAATCGTCTTCTCGCACACGCTCGACAAGCTATCGCGCCACCATGCGAGCGCAGCCGATCGAGGCACTGAAACCAACCAACACTCCTATATTTATCCAACAATCACAGTCACTCTCACCTTTACTGGTCTTGCAGAGTCTCTCGACAAGTTATCGCGTCACCATGCGAGCGCAGCCCTTTGAGCCATACAAGCCAACCAACACTCCCACATTCTCCAAATGTCACGGTCGCTCTCACCTTCACCTACCCTGCAGAGCTTTTTCGCTAAAGCGCGCTGTCTTGGTTGCCTTTGCAACTTGGGTCCGTACGCCTTGGTAGGCACTCACCAACAGAGGCAGTCTCTCACAACAGCCTCACTCTTACCCTCTACAACCTCCCCCTCCTACTATTTCTGCAAGCAACACTGCAATCCCCATTCCACTACCACTTCTGAGTCGCACCCACGTTCGGTCATCATGGATCGTGCCGACCGCCTCATCGACCAAGACGAAGCCGAGCGAAACTCGTTCGTTCAACATCACGTCGTCAACGGTCGAGGCTCACTGTTACCCGTGCATGGCGATGCTTCTCGCTCCAAGCTCGATGTAAGTCACACTGCCCTGTACCAATTGCCTGGAATTTCACTAACGTTGCGCTCTGCAGGAGGTCGCAATCAACGATGTGATGGTGTCCTACATCGTAGACAACGACGTTGAAGGGCTCGAGACGACTCGTATCATCAAGTGAGTGATAGCCATATACCAATTCATGTGAGACATGTACTGACTACCCACACCAATCTTTAGGTACGCCGATCTCAGTCCGCATCACAGCACGATGTCGCACGAGGACTTGGCAGAGCTCTTGAAGAAGCCCCAGTTGAGCCGTTCCGGCGAGCTCTCGTACATGCTCGCGACGCCCCGAGTCGATCGCCATGCTCGTCTGGTACTTCCCTCCGGCGTTGAGACTTCGGTCGTCCTCAACGACGACTGTGTTCCTCACTCCCCCCCCAACGCTTTACACTCCCCTGCAATCGCGTCTCTGCACTCAAAGTTGCACCATTGACTGAAGCTTCGCCACTGGACGTAGAAGCCTTGGCTTCGATCGCATTGGACATCTGCTCGCAACCTCCATTTCTCGGGCAGGATAGCTCAGCCAGACTGCTACATGATCTCACGCGCAACGTGTTGGTATCCGCAAAACCGCATGTCTTCGTCTTGATGAGCTGTGTCGAAATGTCTGCAAGTGGCGAGTTGCTTGTAGTCCCCAAAAGGATCTTGCTCCTTGTTAACTCAGTCAAAGCCGCAACGAAGCTTGTACTTCGCGCACTGATTGGGAAGGCGGCGGTGCTATGTACAACTGCGTCTGTCGCCACAACCCCGAGCTTCAACGTCATCCGTCAATCTCACACCGTGTTCTTGGAAGGAGCTGGACGCGCCAGAGATGTCGAGATTGCTGGATTCTTCAGCCACTTCTGGAACGCCTGTCTGCGAATGTTCATCGGCTCCGTAAACCAATTGGGTCCGGCTGCATGCATTTGTTCAGAACAACGAGAACCCGTTCGCGAAGCAGCTTGCTTTATCAACTCTCCTTCGATAGGCTGCCGCGGACCTCGAGATGAAAGAACTCAACCAGACATCTCGATTCAAGAACTCAGCGCTGCTAGAAAAGTGTGCCCTTGCGAACAATATGTCACAGCTTCAGGCAGTACCGGGGTCTTTCGATGACACCCTCTCTGCTACATACGCCACTATCGACAAGGCTGTATTGGGCATTGAGAGCAACCTCATGTTCGTGAACGTGCAGGATGCGAAATCGACGAAGGATGTCAGTGGCTCTTCCTATTCCCTCGAGACTGCCGCCGCGGTCATGAAGGATGCCAGAATTCCCAGACCGTCATCAGTCCGTACAACGTCCAGGTGACAGTCTACGGTGAATTACATCTTAGAGCTGGTACAGTTCCCCGGTTTCGATCAGTCCGAAGAGCTAAGCCAGACTGCTACATGATCTCGAGCGCAGCGTACTGGCATCCGTGAAAGGGCATGTCGTCGTCTTAGATAGTTATCTTTGGAATCTTAGGAAGCGGTGACTTGATTGTAGTCCTCAAAACAATCTTGCTCTTTGTGTATCTGGCGGATTGACTACGTACAAAGTAGCGGAATGGGCTCTATGTAAAATGAGCTAGGCGACTACATGATGTCTCTGACCGCTCGTTTCAAACTTTTGGATTAAATGTTTCAGTCTCGGGTAGGTATTGGTAACTAAATTTGGGAAATAGCACGATGACTATACGCATGAAGAGCATATCGTGAAGTTATGATGTCTCTCGATCCATGTTCCACATGCCGCCTACACTAGAGAAACGGAGGCGTGTCTTTATTTGCCGAAGAGCATGTGTGCGTTAGACACAGTCGTAACTTCTCAACCTTTGAGCACAGAAAGTCATGTCTACGGCAATAAACTCTGTAGCTTCTCCAACTCACGCCACATAAGTCCATGTCTGCGGCAAACATGTCGGGTATCCAGAAGACTTCTGAGAGTATGAAGCGTTGGCCTTTACTTAAGTAAGGATATATATCCAACAACCACATGTGTGACTTGCTAAACTCAAAACATACAAAAGCATGTCTACGGCAACCATGCTTGTGGCTTCTAAAACTCGCCCTACTTGAGCGCATGTCTGCGGTAAAGATTTCAGTATCCACGAGACTTTTTTAGACCTAGAGCTTTGATGATAGCGCCCCTCCCAATCCCCCATCAACATCGAACATCAAACATCTGCTTAAACACAGTGTTAATCAGCACACCAGGTCCGATCTTCATCGGCACAGCAACCTCCTTCAACTTCCCCAACACATCTCCTTCCCTCTCCTTCACCGGCCCTTTCCCTACCATCATCTCCACTGACCCGCTCTCGCCGTCACCACAATCTCTTCCCTTCCTATACCAATACTCCGGCCAAGAATGCCCATTCCCATCTTCCAGCCCCGTCTTCTCCACGATATGGCTTGCCCCTGGTGAAATACCCAGAACTTGTACTCGCGAGCCTGAATTGCTCAAATAATACAGCATCTGTGCAGCATAGCGCTGCATAACCATCTCATCCAGTGCAGCAAAGCTGACGGCACAGGGCTCACGATCTGGAACGAAGTTGTCGCGGGTATAGTGGATATCTGGTGGGGATAGGAGGCGGAGGTGTTTCAGATGGGGGTGTGCGGCGATATGTGTCTAAAGACGTTGTCAGTTCTCGCTATTAGAGTTGTGGGGAGATGAGACCTTGGAGGGTTGCTTACTAGAAAAACCTTCTGGTCGAATATCATGTCGGAGCCGGGTCGGTCTGGCACTGGATAAGAAAGTGGGTTGGGATCTCGGATCGGGTGGAGGGATTGGCGGGGGAAGTGTACGGCGAGGCCATTGAGATAGGGGAGTGATTTCAGTAGTTTTTCCAGATCCTTCGGGGGGTAGAAGGGTACGCGGTCTGTGATCTGGCCGTCTATGCCGAGTTGGCGGAGGGAGGTGTGGCGGGAGATACAAGATACATCGACCATGCGTCCGTCTGCCATGTCGAGCCAAAGCTTTTCCAGACTGTTGAAGGAGTTGAGGAGTGCTTCGACAGCCCGTACGGTGTGTTCTAGTGGAGAAGAATTCCGAGCCATTGTAATGTTCAACTGAGTGAGGTTGCAAACGGGCGCAAGTACTGTCATGAGATCGACGATGCTCTCGCAACCCACAAGCTGAAGACATCTGAGTTTGGATAAGTCGACGTTGCCCTGCAATAGAGCTGCAGCTCTTCGCCCCAAGACCACCTGCCCCAGGCTCATCCGTGATAACTTGAGTTGAGGAGGCGCACTGCCACTTTCAGACGGCCCTCCAAAGACGGCCCAGTCTGGTCGTGCCTCTGGGCGGTCAGGATACGCCATTAGACTGAGGCAATCAGGACGTGTCACAATCCTGAGTTCTTTGAGATTCGGAGCGCTGCGCACGAGTAGTCCAGCCGCCTTGCATTGTTCGCTGCCCATGTCATCGGGCATCACGGTGAGCGACTCGATACTTGCAAGTCGAGATGATATCCACGATTCGTGAGCTCCGTGTGCGTAGCTTACGTTGGCAGTACCAAGCCCCAAATTGAAAAGAACATCGAGCCGCTTTATCTTCGTGTGGTTCTGCAGCAGATGAAACATCATCCTTGTGGACAAATTTACTTCACCGGCTAGAGCGCGTAATGCCCCCTTGGGGAGTTCGTTGATGATTGTCATGAGTAGTGTCTGCGTTGAGTAGTCGCACACATCGTACAGCTTCTCAGTACCACTGCGGGCGATGTAAATACTCTTTACGTGGCGTATGACGCCGTTCCCAGGCTCGAGGAATGTGTTCAGCATTTCTGGGGTGACATTGTCCGACGCTATCGTGAGGTTCGAAAAAGCCATTGGCGTGATGATGTCTCGCCATTCGTGGTTGACGAGACGAACGACTGCATTGGTGGCTTTGTCGCGTATGTAGGCGAAGATGTTGGCTTTCATTTCTACCGGGAGGCTTGGAAAACTAGCTGGACCTGATGGTTCGGCCATCTTGAATGGGTTACAAGTTTGGGTGTGGTCAGGGGTGACAACAAGGCGGTTGAGGTGACTGGGCCGCGTTTATCGCTAGTGGAGCGCCACAAGGTTTGGCTTTAAGGAGGGTCGTGAGGCACCAAGTAGAAGTAAAAGTGAAAGGCTTTTGAGGCGCTGTCCCAAATCATGAAGTACCCATTTCACACAGCACTGGCAGTGTTATCCATAACGATCAAGCAAGCAACGAGCTCTTGTGTTAACAGTACTTCTCTTCTTAAGAGGCCTAGTTCGATAGTTGTATATAGACAGATTTTATAAGTTGCTTGTCCATAGAAGAATTAAAGCTTCGCATTACACTTAGAGTCGGAAGAGGGTATTATAAGGTAGCCGCACCGCTGCGTCTTTGTTGCTTGCAAAACTCACACACAACTAGCAAGCAGCGACACAATCGAATACAAGATATGCGAATGTGTAAACGTACTATCTGAAGAAGTTGGGAGAACAACGCAACGGTAAGCTGCAGTCTGCCGCAAGCATATCATCGCGTCACTCTACTCGATTCGACGAACCATCGCCCTTTATGGTCCTTTCTCTCACGACCCGGTCACTCTTATCGTACACTATGTATCTTCTTCACTTCAACCTCCTTGTACCTGTCGGTATAGTCTCTTTGAAGACAGCATTATCCTTCTCACTCCCAACATGCTTGTGTATCTCCCTTTTTGGAGATAGCAGCATCTCACATCCTTGTGCACATTCCTCTCTGGAGGTGGCAACGATCCCTTCTCCTCTCGCATTCTTCTCTTTCCAACCCTCCCCACACAAATCACTGACCGCCCCACCAACACCCATCGCAAACTCCAAAGCATCCATCAAAATCATCAAAACCTTGGAATCATCATTTCCATCACACTGAACCCGTCCTATACCTCGCCATCAATGCCAACACCCAGTTTAATGGTGTCGCACTGATTGGTATAGTCTCCTGCTCTTTCTCGCTCGGAGATACCCTATCGGCACTGTCCCGCTAATCATCTCGTGAGCGTCTTTGTTCTGGTGAGACTGCATCGCTTCGTATCCTCGTGTCATATACACGAGCCTCGCGAATGCAGTCTCGGGATCTAGTCGTCTTTGCGACGTCGATCTTTGTTGCGCTCATGTCGTTTTCGTTCTCGCTCCTGTTGTGGTCTTCATCGTCGTTGTCGTCCTTGTTTCCGTCCTCGCTCCCATTCTCCTGCTTCCCATCGACCTCGCCAGAAGCTATCGCCTATCCGCCTTTGACTTGGACGGGCTCCTGCTCGCTCGCGATCTCTCCGGTGCCTTAGCCGGCGACTTGACCGTCTTCTTTGCTGGCGACTTTGTCGACTTGACGGGAGACTTGCCCCTTCCATTCTCCTTCTGCGCATCTATCTCTTTATCCTCCTTCATCGGCGACGCTGCCATCTTACTCAACACGTTCTCGTTGAGAGATCCGATGGGCTTCCCGGCATTGCGCGTGCGCCTGTTGTTGGGTGCCTGGGATGAAGCAGGGAGCGCAAGACTGGCGGCGCTGGCTACGTTTGTTTCATCGGTGTTAGCTGTCGTGATGTCGTTATTTGGGCCTGCTGGCTCGGTCGACGCGGGATGTGCTTCCGGTGGAGTATCGCCGTTCTCGGCTGGGACTTGGGATGGACTGCTGACTTCAGTCGTCTCGTTTCCTTCAAGAGGCGCATCCACAACGTTCTCTGTGAACATCTCGTTCAGAGTCGGAGTCTGCTCATCACCCAAGTCAACCTTCGTCCTCTGCACCTTTGACGACTTCGGCAGTGACTGCAATAACCTAGGTGGCATCTGCGACGACGGAGGCGGCTCTTCACCGTCATCTTCTGTCAAGAGCCGCTTCGTAGCCGGGGTCAATATGATAGTGGGCTTGCGAGTAACGACAATTGGAGTCATGTTCTCCAAAGCCAGAGTCTGCTCACCGCCAAGGTCCTCCTTCATCCTCGCTACCTGAGATGGCTTAGGTGAACCTTCTTCGCCGTCGACGTTGACCTTCCGCTTGGTAGCTGGAGTCAGCTCGATGGCGGGGATGTCGATATCGGGGATGTCGATACCGGGAATATCGCTGATGACCGGAGGCGGCTGCTTGTTTGGACTTGGTGAAGGCATGGCATAGAGATCGTCATTGCTGTGATCGCTTTCATCGATGATGGTATCGCCGTCAATGACGAGAGTATCGCCAAGGGGGTTTGCCTTGCCCTTCGCTGCGTCTTTCTCGGGAAGAGCTGCTACCTCAGCGCCAACTTCGTCGCCCAAGCCATATGTGAAAGTGCCCGAGTTGTCCGCGTCACCCTCAAAAGAACTCCAGAAGTCTTCGATATCAGAAGTGTCACCATCGTCTTCTCCCTGTTCTTCTTCGTGTTCTTCTTCCTGGTCTTCTCCCTGTTCTGCTTCGCCTGGTTCTTGTACGGCGAACTTGAATGCCGGTCCCCCATCAGGCGTCAATAGATTTCCTGTCGGAATCTCTGCACTCTCGCCGCTAAGCCGAAGCTGCTTGACCGGTCTGGGTGTCTCGCCCTCATCATCAGACTTTCGCTTCAACGCATCCAAGCCTTCGATGTATGCTGGGAGTGTGATCGTCCTAGCATTCCAGTCTGCGGTGAGTTTTTTGTGGTCCTTTGGCGTCGAGGTTGTATCGGGAGTGGTTGTGGGGCCTGGTAATGCCGTGGGGATGGGTGTAGATGGGCTTGTGAGACCGGCGACGGGGACGAGACGTGGCTGAGTATCGATAGGATGGTTGGAATAGATCGCGCTCGATGCATTCTGCGTCTCAGATGGAGTGAGCGACTTCGCTGCGGGTGCAGCCATCTCTGTGGCTTTCGCACCGTCGATCTCCGACTTCAGCTTCTTGACCTCCATCTCCAATGCCTCGCGACGAGTAACCTCCTTCTTGAGCTGCTCTTTGAGCTCCTCGTTCTCCTCATTAAGCGCGGTCTGCACATTATCGTTAACTTCCTTCGCCTCCGCAGCAATGCCTTCCCACTCCTTGACCTGCTCTTTGAGCGCGGCAACTTCCTTGCTATGTCGTAGTCGCACCTCGTGGAAGTCTCTCTCCATCGAAGCTGCATCGGCTCTGCCCTTCTCTTCTTCTTCTCGGGACGCTTGCAACTGCATAGTCAGAGATGCTGCGTTGGCTTCTGCCTCTTCCTTCTCTTCTTGGACTTTTCCCACGAGTTCTTTCACCTGGGCCAGGCCAGATCCAGCGGTTTTGATGGCTTCGTTCGCGCAACCCAATTGCTCCTTGACTGAGAGGAGTTCCACGTTAGCCGTCTGCGTTTCTTGTCGTGCAGCTTCCAGCTCAGCCTTCAGGGAAGCCACTTGAGCTTCAACCGCCTCAATCTCTTCCGATACTGCCCGAGGTTCTTGACCGTGAGAAGCCAGTAGTGAAGCGACTTTAGCTTTAGCCCCATCAGCCTCTTCTCGCACCAGCCGTAGCTGCTCGTCCTTGGAATCCGCTTCCATCTTGGCGTCTACAGCCTCTTGCCGCGCCGCCCGAAGTTGATGCCCCATATCCTCCAGTGCATCTCGCTTTGGAGTTGATGAGTTGTGAGACGAGTTGGAAATTCTACTCGGGTGCGCAGGCTTGCTCGTAGACTGCTGGAGCTCTTTGACCTGCGCATTACTGCGCTTCAGGCTATCGCTCGTCTCCTTGAGTGCCTCCTGTAATTTGCGGACCACTTCTGGTGTTTGTGTAGGCTCTTCGCGCACAGGCGTCGCAAAGTCTGGAACCTCGTCGACCTGTGTATTTCGACGCGCTCGATCAGAGCTCGCCTTCTCCCTCATCTCAGACTCCTTCTGCTGCTTCTTCGCAACTTCCAGCTCTTTCCGTAGACTAACATTCGTCTTAAGCTTAATATGAAGCCAGTTAATAACGCGCCAAGTGATAGCCTTCCATGTGTTATGGTCGACTCCTGGTGGAGTCCTTGCGCCTTTCCAGATTCTCATCACACTTACAGTGCCCCGAACAGTCATGACGGAGTACAATGCGTATTCGAGGGCGCGATATTCGAGTGCGGAATTGGCCTTGTTCATGATAGTGTAGCCGGCGCTTACGATCCTGAACAGAGTTGGCGAGACGATAGAGTTCATTTTTGCGGCTGTGTTGTTGGAGGTGGCGGAAGCGATGACTGTTGATGTTGTGTTTGTGGTCTTCTTGATGGTGTTTGTCGCGGTCCTGGCGCCGGTCGCGAAGTTGGTACTGACGCCTTGCAGGAGATCGGATGTCTCTGGCGCAGTATTCAAAGGGGTAGTAGATGGATATTTCCTCGCTACTTGTCACAGCGCTGATGGGTATGTTAGTGATCGTGTGAGTGGGATGATGAGGCGGGGGCTGGACTTACGCTGATAGCGTGACTGCGGTAGAGACCTTGTCGCGCAGGTGTTCGCTTGTTCGGTTGCGGTGTATTTCCTTCGGGTTATTTCCCTGGACTTCAGCGTCTTCGATGCTACTGCGGTTGCTGATGGATGCGGGAGTACGCGTTGTGGTGTCGTCGCGGTATCGTCGCAGTGGGCTGAGAATATCCAAGATAGAGGGGTAGCAGAGTCGCGACTCAATGAATGCAAAGAAACAGAAAATCTCTTGTTTACACTCGCTAAGTCGCAATAGTGTGCGCTGACGTAACGGAAAAGTCACGTTGTTGGAAGTTTTTGGTCTTTCACTGATGCGATCGGGAGCCAAACAAAAGAACAAAGAGATAAGGAGGCAGTCATATCTGGATTCGAGAAGACACACAGAAGACGAAGGAGAGGCGGCTTTTACATGTACGTTTTGTAGAAATGATATCTAGGGGTCAGGATACGTACTAGATGTCGCAACTGAACCTCGGGGTTGCCCACCAAGTTCCCCCAAACTCGCACTCTAGAGTCCCATTTGACGCCGCACGAGGCGCGCGCACCAGAACTTCCGTCTGAGCCATCATCATAAGCTCAACACTTGCCACCAAAGATCTCAGTTGCTCTTCTGACCCCACCACGACTCCGCCTCCGCCGCTTTCCACTCATCATACTCTCCCGCCGCCCGTTCAATCACAGCCTGCTCAGCAGCCGCCTGCCACGTCTTGGCCAAATGACCGTTCTTGAGATCTTCCTGGAACTTGGCGACATCGGTACGGAAGCAGTTGTTTGCCAGCGTGAAGGCTGAAGGCCGTGTGTCTTCTGTGTTGCCGGCGCTGGTCTTGGCAAGCAGAGCTTGGTGCGTGGTATTCTCGGGGAGCATGGAGATGAGTGTACTCTGCTGCTCTGCGCTGAGGTGGGTCCAGGCTGGTCCTTCAAGGAGCATGTGCTGCGATGTGTGAGCTGTTTGACTTGTGAGTGGTGAATGGATTGTGATGAAGACTTACGTAGATGTCGGCTTTGACTAGACGGCTGGAGGAGTTGGTGGTGATGTAGATTGGGTCGAAGACTTTGCTTAGTCCCTTCTTGGTTGGGGCAGCTTTGGGAGTGGGCTTTTCCTCAAACTCCTCGAAGCGCTCTGGTGCTTTGCGGTTGCGCGAGGGACGTGAGCTGGGTGTTGCTGCAGGAGCGGGTTTCTTGGCTGCTGCTTTCTTCGGGGCTGGCTTTTTGGGCGCAGGCTTCTTTGGAGCAGGCGTCTTCTTTTTCGTAGTCTTGGCTTTTGTTGCTGAGCTTGTACTCCTGGCGGCGCGTTTGGGAGGCGGTGTACCGAAGGCGGGCTCTTCGTCGTCATCATCGACTTCTTCGTGAGACCTCTTTGGGCTCTGCTTGGACACGCGTTTAGCGCCCATGTTGGATGTCGGCATAGTAGTAGATGTAGGCGCCAGCGCCTGCTGAGGTAGGGATGGAGACTCGATCGATGGCATGATGGACGAGTCGTTCTCTGTTGTTGAGATGGCAGAATCTGGGACTTGGCTCGGCAGGCTTGAGGGGATGGGTGAGACCTGCTCAGATGAAGATGAGGGAGGGGAAGAGAGAGATGAGGAGTCGGGGTCCGAATGGTGCATTTTGACTCGTTTGTTTGGTGTTGTTGGAGGTGGTGCAGTGGTTTGTCCTGATTCTGTTGTAGGCGGAACAGGTGTCGGGTGATGGTCGTGTGGAGAGGTGAGTCGGGTGGCGGACGAAGGTCTATGGTTGTCAATCGAAGCTGAGGGAGACGGGATATGGGTTGCCAATCCGCGTTGAGCTTTCTATTGTCGGACGGTGGATACGGGCGAACAGTAGGCTATTGGACCAAGCGACAGTCACGTGTGAAAAGAAGAATGTCGGCGCGCGAAGTGAATGTGGAGGTCGTATTGAGCAGTTGCACAATGGTAGTCACGCGCTTGGCAGACAAGTCGTGAAGACGGCGCACGGTACATGGTGTGGTGAAGAGTGGGAACGCACCTTACTGGTAACGACATCTTGTCGTTTGGACTGGATGCAGAAGCTTGATGTCGAACTTGAGCAAGTATTTGCTTACACGACGTCGTAAGTGCAAGTGACTACCTGGGTAGGTTGGTATGAGCGGCAGCTGGCAAAATGCCGGTGCGATGTCGTTTGTGTTGAGGCAGTAGCTATCGCGTTCCGCAAGGCTGATCTACCAATGGCTAAGGTCGGGTTCTACTGGGAAGCTTGAGCATCGAGCGACTTGAATCAGGGCTGAAAGCGCGTCCGCCACTCGATGCATAGAGTGAAGGTGTTGAAAGGGTACGCGAGGATAGAAGCTCGGCTCCGCATGGTGGCTGGGGCGCTGAGTTGAGGTTGTACCAGATATTCCGTCACAAGGATACCGATATTAATCCAGTCAGTCTCTATGGCCTCGAAATTCCGATCAACGCGTCTGTAGAGTCATGAAAGACAGTGCATTGAAGGGTCACAGCATGCTGGTTGTTCGGTAATGGCCGTTGGCGCGTCCGTGCGCTTTCCCGCGCGACCTTTCCGCATCGTCATCTTTGCGATCTGGTATCATCCGCCCGACACGTATCCCCTATAGGCGACTACTCACCCTCGGGCCTGACTTTGCGCTCGTCATAATATTTGGCGACGTTGTACACTCAGCAGCTGTAATTCTCTGCACCCTCAACCGCCACCATGATCAAACACACCATAATATCGCGGCTCGACGGTCAGTAACTCAGCCGTATTGAAGGCTGCACACGTGCTGATACATGTCTAGGCCTTCATTTGGTAGCCTCGGTCGACGATAACCAGGTAACGGCGCCTCTCGAGCTATTCACGTAGCCTAAAAATGGGGCTCACATTTTCTAGAATGATGCCGAGTTCACCGAGGCCACGAACAAAGTAAAGATGTTACAGCGACGTCTAAACCGTAACGCCGAACAACAAGCGAGTATAGAGAGCGGAAACTACACATTTCAGTACGTGCATTGCCCCTGCCTTTACGTGCAGAGAAGCATCCTCGATCACACGCTAACGCAACCACCAGCTACATAATCGAGGGCGACCTCTGCTTCCTCTGCATATGCGACCGTTCCTACCCGCGCAAACTCGCCTTCACATACCTCTCAGACCTCCAACGCGAATTCACCACTACATACCAACCGCAACAGTACCTCTCACCCACATGCCGACCGTACGAGTTCGTCGGATTCGATCAGTTCATTCAGAGCACAAAGAAGACATACCAAGATTCGAGGGCGACGCAGAACCTGGACAAGTTGAACGATGAGCTGAAGGACGTTACCAAGGTCATGACCAAGAACATTGAGGATCTGCTGTATCGAGGAGACAGTCTGGAGAGGATGGGCGATATCTCGAGTCGGTTAAGGGAGGACAGTAGGAAGTACAAGAAGGCTGCTGTGCGCATCAACTGGGAGTTGTTGTTGAAGCAGGTGAGTAACGGGCAGACGCACGTCACGGTCATAAACTTGGAATACTAACGATGCGCAGTATGGACCCATCGGCGGACTAGCCTTCATCATCATCGTCTTCATCTGGTGGAGATTCTTTTAGACACATGCAGCGAGTCGGCACACAGCAGGTACCAAGGAGGGCATTTATTGGCGCCGTCGGCGTTAGAGGCGCATACATTGCCGGAAAACGGCGAAAGATACACAACAATACCCAAGCTCCAGCTTTTCGTATACAAGTCTTCATACAAGTCTCCATACAAACATTGGTTCCACCATGTGAATGCTGGCGCTGTCGAAAAGACAAGGATACCCTTCCAAGCCTCTAGCTCTGATTGGTTGGATGCATTGTCGTGAGCACTACATACCTCGCTAATACTTCACACCATGTCTGCCCCACTCCACACTACCAATTTCGTTTTGCACCTTTTCCTTTTGCCAGTCCAGCATACTTCGACATTGACGGACGAAAGAGACAAGACGTATACGAACCCGATACCATCGAGCGATTCAACGACACGATGTGAACGACCGTGATCCCTCGGACGCACGTGCTGATATCAACACCATGACGACATGATCAAATTCGGAGAGGATGTCTTATAAGAGGAGGGAGAGGGAATATGGAGCTATAGGGGCAGACTGGGACTCTTGACCGGACTAAACGGTTCACACCAACTGCCCTTCCTCTCTAGTGAGAAACAATGGAGCCACCTGTTGTCAATATCGCTGTGGGTTGGAGGATGTACGCGTAGAAAGACTGTCAAGATACGATGGAATGGTCGGGTCAAGAGGAATACATGCCTACTTCGAGCAAAGAGAGTGGAGATAAGGCCGTATTTCGGGGAACCATATGTATGACGCATGCCACCGTGCCCTTCTCCATTTACGCCCGCGACAACCTAGTTTCGGAGTTCCGGTGCCCAAGGACCCCGGGCCATACCCTTCGTCGTGCGGAATCGCTCCATCGGGATAATTGCGCGACAAACTTCCACGTCTGGGAACTACTACATTGGACTGTATGAAAGCCATTGAGGGAGGAAGGCGCGTTCAGGGTACGCGCTATACTTGCTAGTACTGGTCGTGGTTGACCATTTCGTTCATTCTCGGCCGACCTAGGAAACAGCTAAATACCCCGGAGCCTACACCGACGTTAGGTCACCTACTTTGCGAGCCTGTTGAGTTGCTGTAGTCCGCAGACCTATTCGCATCACAGACAGCACCCCTCCCAATGACATTCTCAAACGCCACCACAATGACTAAACCCCAAATCATACTCATTCCCGG